AATGTTATACAAAAATATTTAAAAAATTACATGTACTCTCAAATATTATGTTCCGTTCCATGATTGATATCGCATCCAGAATCCAGTCTCATATCTGTAGGATAATGCCTCTGGACATGTTTTTCCGAAATTACTTTCACTTTTTCCAAAATTAATTTGATTTTTTCCGAAAATGACTTTACATTTTCCTAAATAAAAGTTACTTCTTCCGAAATTGGGGTTGAAATGGTGTAGTTATCATTACCAAGGCAGTTATTCAATTTCATAAGTAAATTAAAAACCCACCATCATATCTATCAAACTTTATTACGTGTTTGACTATTTCGAAACTATGTTTAATTGTCAAATGCTTTCTTAACTCCTGGCTTGTTTTAAATGAGACTTGGCAATCCTCCATACATTTAAACAAAGCATCATCAAAAGCATGTTCCGAAACTGTAAAAAAAGGGATTACTCTTTATTCAGAGAAGCAATTGTTTCTCAGACTTTAATAAATAAACGTCAACTAATATAAAATACTATTATGACTTCTTCCAACTAATATCCTCACCATTTTTGCAATTATTATTTTTCAAATGTCTGTTGAGATTGTATTTCGAAGAAAAAACCTTATCACAAAACTCACAGGTAGCACTATCACTATCACTTGGCCCACTTTCCATCATTTCCCAATCACAATAAATTTATGAAAAAAACAATGAAATAAAAATAACTAATTTAATCTAACTGGAACACCACACCACCAACTATCGATAGAAAACAGTAATATTGTTAAATAGGTAGGCAAAAATATTCGCGCCAAATATTTGCGCCAAATATTCGCGCCAAATACTTTCAAATTTAAATACAACCAACATAACCTCATTTTCTCGGCTGTCATAGGGAAATCCGGCAACGCTGTTATCATTTGCGCTACAATTAGCCGTTCCTCACATTTTTGTCATTTTTGAAGATTTTTATGATTTTTGAAATTTTCTGACATTTTCGAAAATTTTCATCATTTTTGTGATTTTTGGAAATTTTTATGATTTTTGGAAATTTTTATGAATTTTACAAACTTTGTGATTTTTAAACATTTTTGTCATTTTTGAAGATTTTTATGATTTTTGAAATTTTTTGACATTTTCGAAAATTTTCATCATTTTTGTGATTTTTGGAAATTTTTATGAATTTTAGAAATTTATGATTTTCATGATTTTCTAAAATTTTCATGATTTTCGTACATTTTTATGATTTTTGCGATTTTTCAAATTTTTTACGGTTTTTGAAAATTTTTGACATTTTCGAAAATTTTTAACTTTTTTTGTAATTTTTAGAATTTTTTGTTTTTTGAAAATTTTTAAGATTTTTATGTATTTTGTGATATTTGGAAATTTTTGTGATTTTTAAAAATTATGATTTTTGAAAATTTTTATGATTTTCGTGATTTTCCAAAATTTTCATGATTTTTGTGCATTTTTATGATTTTTGTGATTTTTGTGCATTTTTATGATTTTCGAGATTTTCCAAAATTTTCATGATTTTTGTGTATTTTTATGATTTTTGTGTATTTTTATGATTTTTGTGATTTTTACACATTTTTGAAGATTTTTATGATTTTTGAAATTTTTTGACATTTTCGAAAATTTTCATCATTTTTGTGATTTTTGGAAATTTTTATGATTTTTGGAAATTTTTATGAATTTCAGAAACTTATGATTTTCATGATTTTCGTACATTTTTATGATTTTTGCGATTTTTCAAATTTTTTACGGTTTTTGAAAATTTTTGACATTTTCGAAAATTTTTAACTTTTTTTGTAATTTTTAGAATTTTTTGTTTTTTGAAAATTTTAAAGATTTTTATGTATTTTGTGATATTTGGAAATTTTTGTGATTTTTAAAAATTATGATTTTTGAATTTTTTTTTATGATTTTCGTGATTTTCCAAAATTTTCATGATTTTTGTGCATTTTTATGATTTTTGTGCATTTTTATGATTTTCGAGATTTTCCAAAATTTTCATGATTTTTGTGTATTTTTATGATTTTTGTGATTTTTACACATTTTTGTCATTTTTGAAGATTTTTATGATTTTTGAAATTTTTTGACATTTTCGAAAATTTTCATCATTTTTGTGATTTTTGGAAATTTTTATGATTTTTGGAAATTTTTATGAATTTTAGAAACTTTGTGATTTTTAAACATTTTTGTCATTTTTGAAGATTTTTATGATTTTTGAAATTTTTTGACATTTTCGAAAATTTTCATCATTTTTGTGATTTTTGGAAATTTTTATGAATTTTAGAAACTTATGATTTTCATGATTTTCTAAAATTTTCATGATTTTCGTACATTTTTATGATTTTTGCGATTTTTCAAATTTTTTACGGTTTTTGAAAATTTTTGACATTTTCGAAAATTTTTAACTTTTTTTGTAATTTTTAGAATTTTTTGTTTTTTGAAAATTTTAAAGATTTTTATGTATTTTGTGATATTTGGAAATTTTTGTGATTTTTAAAAATTATGATTTTTGAAAATTTTTATGATTTTCGTGATTTTCCAAAATTTTCATGATTTTTGTGCATTTTTATGATTTTTGTGCATTTTTATGATTTTCGAGATTTTCCAAAATTTTCATGATTTTTGTGTATTTTTATGATTTTTGTGTATTTTTATGATTTTTGTGATTTTTACACATTTTTGAAGATTTTTATGATTTTTGAAATTTTTTGACATTTTCGAAAATTTTCATCATTTTTGTGATTTTTGGAAATTTTTATGATTTTTGGAAATTTTTATGAATTTCAGAAACTTATGATTTTCATGATTTTCGTACATTTTTATGATTTTTGCGATTTTTCAAATTTTTTACGGTTTTTTTTTTAACTTTTTTTGTAATTTTTAGAATTTTTTGTTTTTTGAAAATTTTAAAGATTTTTATGTATTTTGTGATATTTGGAAATTTTTGTGATTTTTAAAAATTATGATTTTTGAAATTTTTTTTATGATTTTCGTGATTTTCCAAAATTTTCATGATTTTTGTGCATTTTTATGATTTTTGTGATTTTTGTGCATTTTTATGATTTTCGAGATTTTCCAAAAATTTCATGATTTTTGTGTATTTTTATGATTTTTGTGATTTTTACACATTTTTGTCATTTTTGAAGATTTTTATGATTTTTGAAATTTTCTGACATTTTCGAAAATTTTCATCATTTTTGTGATTTTTGGAAATTTTTATGATTTTTGAAAATTTTTATGATTTTTGGAAATTTTCATGAATTTTAGAAACTTTGTGATTTTTAAACATTTTTGTCATTTTTGAAGATTTTTATGATTTTTGAAATTTTTTGACATTTTCGAAAATTTTCATCATTTTTGTGATTTTTGGAAATTTTTATGATTTTTGGATATTTTTATGAATTTTAGAAACTTATGATTTTCATGATTTTCTAAAATTTTCATGATTTTCGTACATTTTTATGGTTTTTGCGATTTTTCAAATTTTTTACGGTTTTTGAAAATTTTTGACATTTTCGAAAATTCTTAACTTTTTTTGTAATTTTTAGAATTTTTTGTTTTTTGAAAATTTTTAAGATTTTTATGATTTTGTGATATTTGGAAATTTTTGTGATTTTTAAAAATTATGATTTTTGAAAATTTTTATGATTTTCGTGATTTTCCAAAATTTTCATGATTTTTGTGCATTTTTATGATTTTTGTGATTTTTGAATTTGATTCTAGTATCGATTTTAGAGATGAGTATCGACTATCGATTTTGGTAAATAAAAACAACAAAATCAATCATAATTATCATTTATTGTCACTTCAAATTAAATTACTACACAATAATAATAATAATAATAATAATAATAATAAAATCTTAAAAATTAAAGAAACCTGTAATTTTTCTGTTTACCAGTATGGCGTCATCTAGCGGCAAAAAAAAGTCATTATAATTAAATAAACTGCAGGAACGAATAATTATAAGTAGAGGGCTCGGAAGGGGACACAATAATTAAAAATTAATAATATCGATCAATTAATTAATTAATTAATTAATTGTATGAGCTAGAGATCACAGTCTTTACATTGTTTTTTAATTAAAAAGGCGATTAATTATTTTTTACACTTTTTTCAACAATTGTACTAGATTTAGTACAATTATTTTTTTTAGTCAAAAATTCTAAATTCACCTTTAAAAAAGTATTTATGTTGATAAAAACATGCTGCAAGTAATTTTAAGAATTGTACTAGATTAAGTACAATTATTTTTTTTAAGTCAAAAATTCTAAAAAAGCATTAAAATCATTAAAAACATGTTTTAAAATTTTTTTAGCAATTGTACCAAATTTAGTACATTTTTATTTTCACAAAAAAAAAATCATAATTTCGTCCTGTAAGTGCCGGCGATTTCTTCCATAGGCATATCTGAGGCATAAGCGTCATTTACTACTCCTGCTCCTGCTGCTCCTGTTGCTCCTGCTCCTCCTACTTTTTTAACCGCGTTGCGCGTGCGCTCTTTGTGTACGTACCGGCGTTTTTCTCCAGGAAAAATGTCGGCCATTTTTCTCGCCCACGGATGAATGAGTTCTTCGTCGTAGAGGTCGCTCTCGCTGCCGGTAAAGTAGGACACTGTCCAGCCGATTAAAACGGTGATGACGGTGCCCAGGAACGAGTAGTACATGTAGGTGACCGAGTAGAGGGCGCTGAGTGGGTCTCTGAAATATACGAAGTGTTTTTTTGTAAATTGTACTAAAATTAGTACAAATGTACTAAATTTAGTACAATTTGTTTTTTGGCAAAATTTTGATTATAAATCATTTCTGTTATTAAAAATACAATTTTGACGATTTTTACAAATTGTACTAGATTTAGTACAATTAATTTTTGGTGCAATATTTGATAGAGTAAAAACATAAAGTGTACTAGAAAACTAAATGTACTAAAACTAGTACAATTTTTAGAAATTGTACTAAATCTAGTACAATTTCAAATTACTCACAATTTTTCGGCCCGAGTCGTATTCAATGGTGCCAATGGGTCGTTGTTGTAGTAGAAAGTGACAGGTGAGGGCGTCGGCGTCGGCGTCCATGACGTCATTCGGTGCTCGACTTTCAAAATGTGGTCGTTAAATGACGTGTTCGAACAACCGTCGACGCTCAACGGCAAACCGACGGTCGGCGGTTTGTCAACTGTCAAACCGCCGAAAGTGATCCAGAGCACGATCACGTGACCGACTATCATTCCTGTCGAAGCACCCTGTCAACAAAATAGCAATAACTGTCAAAAAATAAAAAAACTGTCAAATATGTCAATAAACGAAAAAAATTGTCAAACATGTCAATAATTTAACAACTGTCAAAAATGTCAATAAACGAAAAGCTTTCAGAAATTTTAATAATTAAAAAACTGTCAAATGTCAATGAATAAAAAAAATGTCGGTAATGTCAATTAATAAAAAAAATTGTCAAAAATATCAATAAACAAATAAAATTGTCAAAAATGTCAATAAACTAGAAAAACTGTCAAAAATGTCAATGAATAAAAAAAACTGTCAAAAATATCAATAAATGAAAAAACAATCAAAAATGTCAATACATAGAGAAATTGTCAAAGATGACATTAAATAAAAAAACTGTCAAAAAGGTTAATAAATGAAAGAAAACGTCAAAAATATCAAGAAGAAAAAAAATTATCGAAAATATCAGAAGATTAAAACTGTCAAACGTATCAAAATAAGTGTTAATGAACAAATAAATGTCAACAGACAAAATATCTATCAATTGTCAAAACTGTCGATAAATAAAAACTTTTCAAAATGTTAATAAATAGAAAAAAAACTGTCAAAAATTTCGATAAATAAAAATCTGTCAAAAGTTGTTAACAATATCAATAAATAAAAAAAGCTGTCAAAAATGTCAAGAAAATTAAAAAAATTGTCAAATATGTTAATAAATTAAAAAACTGACAAAAAACACCAAAAACTGTCAAAAATGTTAATATGTAATTTTATTTGTTGATATTTTTGACAGTTATTTTATTTGTTGACACTTTTGACTGTTTTTTTTATTCATTGACATTTTTCACATATTTTTATTTCTTGACAGATTTTTTATTTATTGACATTTTTAACAGTAATTTATTGACACTTGACAATTTTCTTTATTTTTTGACATTTTTAACAATATTTTTTATTGACATTTTTGACAGTATTTTTATTTATGACATTTTTGGTGTTGTTGATATTTAACAATTCTGACAATTTACATTTATTTTATTCAATAAAAATTGATGGTTGTTTTGTTTGTTGACATTTGACAATTGTTATTAATTGACATTTGACAATTATTTTTTTGTTGACATTTAATCCCTTTGACAGCTTCTTTCTATTGACATTTTTGTTGTTGACATTTGACATTCACTTCATTTGTTGACAATTCTTAGTTATTTTGTTTGTTGACACATTTAATAATAATTGTTTAATGAACTGACATTTGAAATTTTTTTAGTTAATTTGTTTTATTTGTCAACATTTCACAATAATTGTTTATTGACATTTTTCCCATTTGTTGACATTTAACACTTTTTTCATTATTATTAACATTTTCGACAGTTTTTTAATTTATTGAATTTTTTTTTTTTTTTTGACATATTTGACAGTTTTATCAATTCATTGACACTTTCGACAATTTTTTATTTATTTTTTTGAGTTTTGACAGTTTTTTCTGTTTTTTGACATTTGACACTTATTTTGACACTTTTGACAGTTTTAATATTGTTCATTGATATTCTCAACAATTTTTTTCAATTATTGATATTTTTGACAATTTTTTTAAATTTACACACTGTCAAAAATGTCAAATGTTATTAAACAAGACAATTGTTGAATGTTAACAAAACTATCAATAAATGTCATTAAATAAAACAGATGTCAATTAACAAAATAATTGTCAAATGTCGATAAAATAATTGTTAAATGACAATTAATAAAACAATTGTCAAAAAATGAAACAAATGTTAAATGTCAATGAACAAACAATTGTCAAATGTCAACAAACAAAACAACTATCAATTTTTATTAAATTAAATAAAGGTAAAATGTCAAAATTGTCAAATGTCAACAACAAAAAGGTCAATAAATAAAAAAATGTCAAAAATGTCAATCAACAAAGAAAATTACAATAATTAAAAAAAACTCCGAGTTGTCAATAAATTAAATAACTGTCAAAAATATCACTACATAAAAAAATTTCGACAAAGAATAAAACTGTCAAGAATTTCAGTAAATGAAAAAAACTGTCAAACATGTCAATGATTAAAAAAAAGTTAAAATGGCAATAATCAAGAAAAAATGTCAATAAATAAATAAAACTGTCAGAAATGCCAATGAATGAAAAAAAAATGTCAAAAATGTCAATATTCAGGAAAATTGTCAAAAACGTCAATAAATAGAAAAAATTTGTCAAAAATGTCAAGAAATAAATAAAACTGTCAAAAATGTCGACAAATAAATACAACTTTCAGAAATGTCAATAAATTTTTTAAAAATGCCTAAAAAGTCAATAAAAGAAAACAATTGTTAAATGTTATTTATTGACAATAATTGTGAAATATCGACAAATAATTATTAACAAATGAAACAAATGTCAAATGTCATTAAACAAAAAAGCTATCAATTGTCAACAAATTAAACAAATGTCAAATGCAAATAAACAAAACAATTATCAATTGTCATTAAATGAAATAAATATAAATTGTCAAAATTGTCGAACAACAACAATGTCAATGGATAAAAAACCTGTGAGAAGTTTTAATAAATAAAATAACTGTCAAAAATGATGTCAATTGAAATAAAAATGTTGTCAAAAGTGTCAAATGTTAACAAACAACTATCAATAATGTCAACTAATGAAATATTTGTCAAATGTCAACAACAACAAAAATGGCAAATGAAAAAACTGTCAAAAATATCAATAGATAAAAAAAAATTCAATAAATAAAAAAATTGTCAGAAATGTCAATAAATGAAAAACTGTCAAAAGTCTCAATAAACAGAAAACTGGCAAAAATGTTGATAAATTAAAAATAAGTGAAAAATGTTGATAGATAAAAAACTGTAAAAAAATCAATAGATAAAAAACTGTCAAAAATATTAATAGATAGAAAAACTGTCAGAAATGTCAATAGATAAGAAACTGTCAGAAATGTCCAAAGATAAAAAATTATCAAAAATGTCAATTTTAAAAAAACTGTCAAAAGTGTCAATAGAAAAAAATCTGTCAAAAATGTGAATAAACGAAAACATTGTCAAAAATGTCAATAAAAAAGACAGTCGAAAATGTCAATAAATGAAATGAATATCAATATATAAATTAAAAAAAACTGTCAAAAATGTCAATAAATAAAAAAAAAACTTTCAATAAACACAAAAAATTGTCGGAAGTGTCAATAAATAAAATAATTACAATTACAATATATTGACATTTTCTCCTGTTTTTTCCTTAATTGACATTTTTGACAGTTTTTAAAATGTATTGACCCTTCTAACAATTTTTTTATTTATTGCCAATATACCAAAATGCCAATAATTGAGAAACTCTCATGTCAATGTCAATATATGAAAAATACTGTCAAAAATATTGATATAAAAAAAACTGTCAATAAAGGAAAAAAACTGTCGAAAATTTCAATAAATAGGGAAAATTGTCAAAAAATGTCAATTAATAAAAAACTGTCAGAAATGTCAATAAATAAAAAATAAATAATGAATAAAAAAATTGATAAAAAAAACTTTCAATAAACTAAAAAAACTGTCAAAAATGTCAATAGATAAAAAAACTGTCAATAAATGAAATGTGTCAAATTTCAACAAACAACGCAAATTGTCAAATGATAACAAACGGAACAAATGTCAAATATCAACAAATGAAACAAATGTCAAGAAATAAAAAAATTATCTTATCAAGATGTCAATAAATAAAAAAACAGTCAAAAATGCCAGTTAATAAAAAAAAACTGTCAAAAATGTCAATGAAGATGTCAAAAGTGTCAGTATGTATAAGTGTAAATTAACAAATAAATGTCTACAGACAAAAAAAAACTAACATTGAATAAAAAAACTGTCAAAAATTGTAAAAAATATCAATAAATAAAGAAAGCTGTCAAAAATAACAAAAAAATTTAAAAAATGTCAAATATGTTGATAAATTAAAAAACTGGCAAAATTACAAAAAACTGTCAAAAATGTTGATATGTAATTTTGTTTGTCGATATTTTTGACAGTTATATTATTAATTAATATTTTTGACAATTATTTTATTTGTTGACACTTTATTCTTTAACATTTTTCACAGCTTCTTATTTCTTGACATTTTTGACAGTTTTTTTGTTTAATGAATTTATTTTTATTCAATGTTGACAGATTTTTTTTTTAATAGACACTTTTAACAGATTTTTTATTTGACATTTTTGTTGTTGTTGACATTTAACAATTTTGACATTTCACATTTATTTCATTTAATAACAATTGATAGTTGTTCTATGTTGTCATGTGACAATTGTTTTTTTGTTGTCATTTGTCAATTATTTCATATGTAAACATTTGATAGTTTTGTTTGTTGGCATTTGATTCTTTGACAGTGTTTTTTTGTTTATTAACATTTCGAAATTTTTTTCTTTTGAACATTTTTGTGGTTGTTGACATTTGACATTTATTTCATTGGTTGACAAGTGTTAGTTATATTGTTTGTTGACACGTTTGACAGTTTTTGTATTAATTGACATTTCACAATTGAAAAAGTAGTCCATCACTTTATTTGTCGACATTTCACAATTACTGTTTATTGACATTTCTCCCATTTTTTGACATTTGACATTTTTCTTCATTTATCAACCTTTTTGACAGTTTTTTCTGTTTCTTGATATTTCTGCTAATTTTTTCTATTTATCAACATTTTTGACTGGTTTTTTTTTTATTTATTGACATTTTTAATAATTTTTTTTATTTTTTGACAGTTTTTTTATGCATTCACATTTTTGACATTTTTTTATTTATTGACATTTCTGACAGTTTTTTTCTATTCATTGATATTTTTGACAGTTTTTTTTTTGATGACATTTTCACAATTGATAATTGTTTTGTTAATTGACATTTAACAAATAATTGATTGGTTGACATGTAACACTTATTTTGACAGTTTTACTGATTTATTGACATTTTTTACAATTTTTTTCAATTATTGACATTTTTGACTATTTTATTTATTTATTGACATTTTTGACAGATTTATTATTTTTTGACAATTAATACATAGTTATTTTATTTGTCGACATTTATTTTGCTTATTAACATTTGTCAATAATTGTTTTGTTTGGTTTTTTGACTTTTGACAGCTTTTATATTCATTGACATTTTCAAAAAAAAAATTCAATTAGATATTGATATTTTTGACAATTTTTTTTCATTTACATACATCAAAAATATTATTCAATAAAAAAAAAGTCACAAATATTAATACAGAAAGAAACTGTCAAAAATGTCAATCAATGAAAAAACTGTCAAAAATGTCTTTAATTTGAAAAAAACAATCATAAATGTGTCAAATGTCAATAAACAAAAATGTTAAATGTCAATAAAGTAAGAAAAACTGTTAAAAGTGTCGATAAATAAAATAACTAACAAAAATGTCATTGTATAAAAAAAAAAATTCAATAAAGAAAAAAACTGTCAAAAATGTCAATGAATAAAAAAAAATGTAATTTTTGACATTTTGACTGAAAACTGTCAAGAATTTCACTAAATGAAAAAGAATTGTCAGAATTGTCAACAAATGAAAAAACTGTCAAAAAATTAATAAATACAGAAATTGTCAAAAAATATAAGGACTGACAATAAATTTTAATAAATGAAATAAATGTCAAATGTCAACTAGTGAAACAATAATTATCAAATGTCAACAAAAAAAAACTGTCAAATACATAAGAAAAATAGTCAAAAATGCTGATAAATGAGAAAAAATGTCAAAAATGTCAAAAAATGAAAAAGCTGTCAAAAGCTTCACTAAATAAAAAAAAACTGTCAATAATTGAAGAAGCTGTCAAAAGTTCTAATAAATAAAATTGTCGAAAATGCCAAATAAAAAAAACTGTCAAAAATATCAATAAATAAAAAGTGTCGAAAATGTCAATAAACAGGAAAAAATGTCGATAAATAAAAAAAAACTTGTCAAAAATGTCATTAATAAAATTGTCAAAAATGTCGATGAATTAAAAAAAACAGTCAAGAATGTAAAAAAAATTGTTAAACATATCATTAAATAAAATTGTCAAAAATGTCGGTGAATTAAAAAAAACTGTCAAAACGTCAATAAAGTAATAATCAATTACTAAAAATATCAATAATTAAAAAACTGTCAGAAATGTCAATAAATATAAAAAACTGTCAAAAATGTCAATAAATAAAAAAACTGTCATAAATGTCATTAAATTACAAAACAATTGTGAAATATCAACTAATTAGACAATTGTTAAATGTTGACAAATAAAATAATTGTCAAAAGTTTACAAATGAAACAATTGTCAAGTGTCAAAAGAATTGTCAAAAATGTCAACAAACAAATTGACTACCAACTGTCAAAATTCAAGATTGTTAAAAATCCCAATAAATGAAAAAAAAAAAAAAACTGTCAAAAAAGTAAATAAATGAAAAAATGTTAATAAATAAAAAGTGTCAAGTGTTAACAAACAAAACAAAATTGTCAAATTTCAATTAACAATGACAAATATCAAACAAAATAACTATCAATTGTCAAAACTCAAAACTGTCATAAATGTTAATAATTGAAAAAAAAAAAAATCTAAATGTCAATAAACATAAAAACTTTCAAAAGTGTCAAAATAAGATGTCAAAACCGTCGAAGTTGTCAATAAAAAAAACTGTTCAAATGTTGAGAAATAGAAAAAAGATTTTCAAAAATAAAAAAAAAACTTGTAAAAAACGTCAAAAATAAAAATTGTCAAAAATGTCGATAATTGAAAAAAATTATCGAAAATGTCAATAATTGAATAAAGTTGTCGAAAATATTGATGAACATTGTTACATGTGTTAAATGTCAACAAACAAAACAAATTGTCGAAAATGTCAATGAACATAAAAACTGTCAAAAGTGTCAAAATAAGTGTCAAATGTCAACAAACAAAATGTCAAAAATTTCAATAATAAAAGAAACTGTCACAAATGTGCATCGATGTTATTTTAGAGAACAAATCGATATCGACAAAAAAATCGATACCGACAAAAAAAATCGATATCGGTAATAAACAGTATCGACAAGAAAATGGATATTGTCCAAAAAATTGTTTTTAACAGAAAATTATCGACAAAATAACGAGATCGACAAAAAACATCGACGATATCGATAAATAGTTGATCGATATTGACATAATCGATTGTCGACACAAAATCTAATTGTGAAAATTTAACTGTCAAAAAGTTGAAATTTGAGAAAAAAATTATAATTTCCTTATTTTGTTGGAAATCAAGTTGTTTATGTTACGTTATGTGTTATATTTACAATATCGAGAAAAAAATCGATATCGACAAAAAAAATCGATATCGACAAAAAAATCGATAATCGACAAAAAATCGATAAATTGAGAAAAAAAATCGATATCGACAAAAAAAATCGATATCGACAAAAAAAATCGATATCGACAAAAAAATCGATATCTGACAAAAAAAACGTACCTTCCAATTGGCGCAAGGCACCAACATCGCCAAAATAAAAACGCCCAGTAAAGGACCAGACGTTGCTGACGTCACCAACATCGACGACTCGATGACACCCTCGATCATCCCTACTCCGAATGCGATTCCCATGATGATCAGAGCGAAAACGACTCCGATCATTTTTATGCTCCACAGTTGACTCGAGTCTTTCATTCCTTTGAGACACGGCAGAGGTCGGATGAAGTCTTCAAATGCGACCGTCGCCAACGAGTTCAAATTCGATACGTTCAAACTATCGAAAAAAAATGAATTTTTATCATTTTCCAACGAGGTTTTAAATAGTTCCCGAAAAGTTCCAACGAGTTTGTAGTGTTTCAACATATTAAAAAATACTCGTAGAATTTTTTCAAATTTTATTTTGGACTTTCCAATGAATTTTTATCATTTTCCAACGAGTTTTTAAATAGTTTCCGAAAAGTTCCAACGAATTTCTAGTGTTTCAACATGTTAAAAACTACTCGTTGGATTTTAAAAATTTTTTTTTTTGGCTTTTGATGAATTTTTAATAGTACCTAATAAGTTTCTAGAAAGTTTCCAAGAAGTTCCAATGAGTTTCTAGTGTTTCAACATGTTAAAAAACACTCATAGAATTTTTTCAAATTTTATTTTGGACTTTCCAATGAATTTTTATCATTTTCCAACGAGTTTTTAAATAGTTTCCGAAAAGTTCCAACGAGTTTCTAGTGTTTCAACATGTTAAAAAACACTCATAGGATTTTTTCAAATTTTATTTTGGATTTTCCAATGAATTTTTATCATTTTCCAACGGGGTTTTTAAAAGTTTCCGAAAAGTTCCAACGAGTTTCTAGTGTTTCAACATGTTAAAAAATACTCGTTGGATTTTTAAAATTTTTTTTTTTAGCTTTTGATGAATTTTTAACAGTACCTAATAAGTTTCTAGAAAGTTTCCAAGAAGTTCCAATGAGTTTCTAGTGTTTCAACATGTTAAAAAACACTCATAGGATTTTTTCAAATTTTATTTTGGACTTTCCAATGAATTTTTATCATTTTCCAACGAGGTTTTAAATAGTTTCCGAAAAGTTCCAACGAGTTTCTAGTGTTTCAACATGTTAAAAAATACTCGTAGAATTTTTTCAAATTTTATTTTGGACTTTCCAATGAATTTTTATCATTTTCCAACGAGTTTTTAAATAGTTTCCGAAAAGTTCCAACGAGTTTGTAGTGTTTCAACATGTTAAAAAATACTCGTAGAATTTTTTCAAATTTTATTTTGGACTTTCCAATGAATTTTTATCATTTTCCAACGAGTTTTTAAATAGTTTCCGAAAAGTTCCAACGAATTTCTAGTGTTTCAACATGTTAAAAACTACTCGTTGGATTTTAAAAATTTTTTTTTTTGGCTTTTGATGAATTTTTAATAGTACCTAATAAGTTTCTAGAAAGTTTCCAAGAAGTTCCAATGAGTTTCTAGTGTTTCAACATGTTAAAAAACACTCATAGAATTTTTTCAAATTTTATTTTGGACTTTCCAATGAATTTTTATCATTTTCCAACGAGTTTTTAAATAGTTTCCGAAAAGTTCCAACGAGTTTCTAGTGTTTCAACATGTTAAAAAATACTCGTAGAATTTTTTCAAATTTTATTTTGGACTTTCCAATGAATTTTTATCATTTTCCAACGAGTTTTTAAATAGTTTCCGAAAAGTTCCAACGAGTTTCTAGTGTTTCAACATGTTAAAAAACACTCATAGGATTTTTTCAAATTTTATTTTGGACTTTCCAATGAATTTTTATCATTTTCCAACGAGGTTTTAAATAGTTTCCGAAAAGTTCCAACGAGTTTCTAGTGTTTCAACATGTTAAAAAATACTCGTAGAATTTTTTCAAATTTTATTTTGGACTTTCCAATGAATTTTTATCATTTTCCAACGAGTTTTTAAATAGTTTCCGAAAAGTTTCAACGAGTTTCTAGTGTTTCAACATGTTAAAAAACACTCATAGAATTTTTTCAAATTTTATTTTGGATTTTCCAATGAATTTTTATCATTTTCCAACGAGGTTTTAAATAGTTTCCGAAAAGTTCCAATGAGTTTCTAGTGTTTCAACATGTTAAAAAATACTCGTTGGATTTAAAAAATTTTTTTTTTTGGTTTTTGATGAATTTTTAATAGTACCTAATAAGTTTCTAGAAAGTTTCCAAGAAGTTCCAATGAGTTTCTAGTGTTTCAACATGTTAAAAAACACTCATAGAATTTTTTCAAATTTTATTTTGGACTTTCCAATGAATTTTTATCATTTTCCAACGAGGTTTTAAATAGTTTCCGAAAAGTTCCAATGAGTTTCTAGTGTTTCAACATGTTAAAAAATACTCGTTGGATTTAAAAAATTTTTTTTTTTGGTTTTTGATGAATTTTTAATAGTACCTAATAAGTTTCTAGAAAGTTTCCAAGAAGTTCCAATGAGTTTCTAGTGTTTCAACATGTTAAAAAACACTCATAGGATTTTTTCAAATTTTATTTTGGACTTTCCAATGAATTTTTATCATTTTCCAACGAGGTTTTAAATAGTTTCCGAAAAGTTCCAACGAGTTTCTAGTGTTTCAACATGTTAAAAAATACTCGTAGAATTTTTTCAAATTTTATTTTGGACTTTCCAATGAATTTTTATCATTTTCCAACGAGTTTTTAAATAGTTTCCGAAAAGTTCCAACGAGTTTCTAGTGTTTCAACATGTTAAAAAATACTCGTTGGATTTTTAAAATTTTTTTTTTTAGCTTTTGATGAATTTTTTAACAGTACCTAATAAGTTTCTAGAAAGTTTCCAAGAAGTTCCAATGAGTTTCTAGTGTTTCAACATGTTAAAAAACACTCATAGAATTTTTTCAAATTTTATTTTGAACTTTCCAAGGAATTTTTATCATTTTCCAACGGGGTTTTGAAAAGTTTCCGAAAAGTTCCAACGAGTTTCTAGTGTTTCAACATGTTAAAAAATACTCGTAGAATTTTTTCAAATTTTATTTTGGACTTTCCAATGAATTTTTATCATTTTCCAACGAGTTTTTAAATAGTTTCCGAAAAGTTCCAATGAGTTTCTAGTGTTTCAACATGTTAAAAAATACTCGTAGAATTTTTTCAAATTTTATTTTGGACTTTCCAATGAATTTTTATCATTTTCCAACGAGTTTTTAAATAGTTTCCGAAAAGTTCCAACGAGTTTCTAGTGTTTCAACATGTTAAAAAATACTCGTAGAATTTTTTCAAATTTTATTTTGGACTTTCCAATGAATTTTTATCATTTTCCAACGAGGTTTTAAATAGTTTCCGAAAAGTTCCAACGAGTTTCTAGTGTTTCAACATGTTAAAAAATACTCGTAGAATTTTTTCAAATTTTATTTTGGACTTTCCAATGAATTTTTATCATTTTCCAACGAGTTTTTAAATAGTTTCCGAAAAGTTCCAATGAGTTTCTAGTGTTTCAACATGTTAAAAAATACTCGTAGAATTTTTTCAAATTTTATTTTGGACTTTCCAATGAATTTTTATCATTTTCCAACGAGTTTTTAAATAGTTTCCGAAAAGTTCCAACGAGTTTCTAGTGTTTCAACATGTTAAAAAATACTCGTAGAATTTTTTCAAATTTTATTTTGGACTTTCCAATGAATTTTTATCATTTTCCAACGAGGTTTTAAATAGTTTCCGAAAAGTTCCAACGAGTTTCTAGTGTTTCAACATGTTAAAAAATACTCGTAGAATTTTTTCAAATTTTATTTTGGACTTTCCAATGAATTTTTATCATTTTCCAACGAGTTTTTAAATAGTTTCCGAAAAGTTCCAATGAGTTTCTAGTGTTTCAACATGTTAAAAAATACTCGTAGAATTTTTTCAAATTTTATTTTGGACTTTCCAATGAATTATTATCATTTTCCAACGAGTTTTTAAATAGTTTCCGAAAAGTTCCAACGAGTTTCTAGTGTTTCAACATGTTAAAAAATACTCGTAGAATTTTTTCAAATTTTATTTTGGACTTTCCAATGAATTTTTATCATTTTCCAACGAGGTTTTAAATAGTTTCCGAAAAGTTCCAACGAGTTTCTAGTGTTTCAACATGTTAAAAAATACTCGTAGAATTTTTTCAAATTTTATTTTGGACTTTCCAATGAATTTTTATCATTTTCCAACGAGGTATTAAATAGTTTCCAAAACGTTCCAATGACTTTCTAGTGCTTCAACATGTTAAAAAACACTCATAGAATTTTTTCAAATTTTATTTTGGATTTTCCAATGAATTTTTATCATTTTCCAACGGGGTTTTGAAAAGTTTCCGAAAAGTTCCAACGAGTTTCTAGTGTTTCAACATGTTAAAAAACACTCATAGAATTTTTTCAAATTTTATTTTGGACTTTCCAATGAATTTTTATCATTTTCCAACGAGGTTTTAAATAGTTTCCGAAAAGTTCCAATGAGTTTCTAGTGTTTCAACATGTTAAAAAATACTCGTAGAATTTTTTCAAATTTTATTTTGGACTTTCCAATGAATTTTTATCATTTGCCAACGAGTTTTTAAATAGTTTCCGAAAAGTTCCAATGAGTTTCTAGTGTTTCAACATGTTAAAAAATACTCGTTGGATTTTAAAAATTTTTTTTTTTGGCTTTTGATGAATTTTTAATAGTACCTAATAAGTTTCTAGAAAGTTTCCAAGAAGTTCCAATGAGTTTCTAGTGTTTCAACATGTTAAAAAATACTCGTAGAATTTTTTCAAATTTTATTTTGGACTTTCCAATGAATTTTTATCATTTGCCAACGAGTTTTTAAATAGTTTCCGAAAAGTTCCAATGAGTTTTTAGTGTTTCAACATGTTAAAAAATACTCGTTGGATTTTAAAAATTTTTTTTTTTGGTTTTTGATGAATTTTTAATAGTACCTAATAAGTTTCTAGAAAGTTTCCAAGAAGTTCCAATGAGTTTCTAGTGTTTCAACATGTTAAAAAACACTCATAGGATTTTTTCAAATTTTATTTTGGACTTTCCAATGAATTTTTATCATTTTCCAACGAGGTTTTAAATAGTTTCCGAAAAGTTCCAACGAGTTTCTAGTGTTTCAACATGTTAAAAAATACTCGTAGAATTTTTTCAAATTTTATTTTGGACTTTCCAATGAATTTTTATCATTTTCCAACGAGGTTTTAAATAGTTTCCAAAAAGTTCCAATGACTTTCTAGTGCTTCAACATGTTAAAAAACACTCATAGAATTTTTTCAAATTTTATTTTGGAT